AGGTAAATATTTTACAGCCTTATTTCTTGTTTTAGTGGAATGTGTAATCAACATAAATTAAGACAATTTCCAAAATGGAGTTAACCTCTATTTTCAAACTAGAGAGGCATAAATTTTTAACGATTGTTATAAAATCAGTTAGCTCTTAAACAAGAGAAATGCATCTGTATTGAACAAAGTGCTGCACTCAATTTTATGGTCATTTTCATCAATGATATTTAAATTTAAAAAGCTTATGAATTTGTGCTCAAGTTTTTTCCCTCAGAAAAAGACATCTCTTTCATTTCCTTCATATGACCATGAGTCTAAATCAATGAGAGTGACTTTTTAATTTCAGTGGTAGTAGTATAATTCCTTTATGAACTTTTCCCAAAATCTTTGCCTCTTAAGTCTTTATAAATTTCTTTTATCTACTGTGATGCTTCTAAAATGTAAATTCTTTCCAGTTTGGAAATTGTTTAATTTTTTAACGTTGGCCCTTTGAAAGTATCAAAAAGCCATGCCTACATTCAGGTCAGTTAGCGATGGGATACTATTTTGTGATTTAAATTTATATGAAAAGTATTTATACAGTACATTTGACAGTTTTTCAAGTCTTTTGTTTTTTCAGTTATCTTACGATCTACTTTTTTAAAGTTATTGCTGCTTTTTTTATTGCCAAACTTATTAGACTGTAAATTTCTTAAAAATAAGATCGGTAAACATTTATCAAATTTTTATCATTTAATTCCTTGCAATCAAGCTTTATCCAATTTTTTTTCCCCTTAAATCACAGAAAACATTCAGGAGGAATACTGTTGCAGCTGAAATTGGTGGAGAGTTCAATACTTTTTTCAGTTAAATTATTTTCAAATGTTCTTCATTGATGGAAAGCCGTTGTTTCTAATGACATTCTGTGGTTTTTAACTTTTTAATGAATTTCACATAGGACACATGGTAATTTGTATATAAAGAACTTGGTAAAAAGAATTTGCTTAATGTAAATATAAATAACACAATTAGTATAGACCCATCAGTATATTTTTGATAATTTTTCATGTATGGTAAAAGTTAAAGTGGCAAACTGATACTCTGATACAAAAAAATCAAAGTTTTGAGAGTCATTGTGGGAAAATAGGAGGTTTTTAGACTTTCTTAAAAGACTTTGTTAAAATTTTCTTGATATCATTGTTTGTTTTAACTTTGCACTCTGTTTTAGGAAATGTGTGCAATAAAAATTGGTAGTTATAGCCTCTATTAACAGAAACAGTATATGTTTTAAAGCTTCGTGTATGCCTGTTTGACCAAACTTGTAGAAATATCATGTATTAAGTTTTCTTTGTCTCCCTCTCTTTGTTCATTTATAGCTAAAGTGACCTTTGTTATTAAAGTATATGCATATATAGAATCTTGTGTATTTTATGGTTGTTTTCCTTCTTTTTTTTTTACTTTCTCTTTGAGGAAAGGGGTAGAACATTGGTCTGTGAGATGTGATTACAAATTAGAAAGATTCTAGTATAAACCACATCACCATTCTGAATGAAGGAACAGATACCATAAACAGGTGGGCAAAAGTAGGTTTATAGTTGTGAGTACACGAAGCACAGAGTTTATTTTTTGTATTATTATTTATTAAATATTGTATTATTTTCCATATGAACAACTGAAAACCTATTTTTGCTCACCCCTGTATTTAGTAAAATAGTATTTTTCAAAATTATTCCAAATAAGAATTTTGTCTTTCACATACTTTATACTTATAAAAATAAAGTTATCTGCAAGAAAGACGTAAAACCAAAAAGATTTTTTTCAAGTAATGGGGATTGTAACTATGAGTTAGTCAATATAGATAACAGGTTAAGAATATGGACTCTGGAGTCAGATACCTGGCTCTGACACTCATTAGCTTTGAGATCATGGACAAGTTATTAACCTTCTGTGCCTTCTTTGTTCTCATCTATAAAATGGGCATGAGAGTAGTATCTGCTTCATACTGCATATGAAACGCTCATGACAGTGCCTGGCATGTGGTGGGATATACTAGATAAATGTTAGTTACAGGGTTGTTGTGCTACATGGGTCACTGGCTGTTGCAGCTCTGGTTAGCTGCCATGATTGTTACTACTTCTATTCTTCTGTCTCTAGTAGGCTAATTCTTGCCATTGTAACAAGTAGCTGTTGTTTTCCCGTCTTTAGTAATGATAGATGTTCAGTGTGACAATCATATGTAAAGGTAACTCTAGACAATTTTGAGTCAAAAATCTAGAAACGACAATAAATTTTTAGATATGTATTTTAAAGTATACTGGATAATGAATTAATATTGACCAATAAATTCTGTTACTGAGAAAAGAAAAAAATGTGCCTTATCTTCTTTCACCACTGTCGATAAGGAGTAGTATTTTGTTTCTCATAATATCCATATTTCACATCATACTCTTTGGACCTGAACGCACTGTACAGAATTGAAAAATTCAGACCTAGGATTTGCCATCACCATCCAGGGGGATAAAGATTCAGTTTTAATGTGAATAAGTATTTCAGTAAAAGAACACTATTTCAGCAAAGGCACTGATATGTAGAGGGATTTTGTTTTATTTTTTAGAGGTTTTTTTTTGGAAACTTTTTCAGTTGGGACTAAATTGTGACTAATGAATCACCAAAAGGGAAAGAAAGGTAACAATCATTGTGCTCCAGCTGAGCAGATGTACTATGTTTCAAGGCAGTGTTCTTCCCCTCACTAGGAGGGTCAGTGATTTAAAAATCCTGACCAGCCTTGTGGCTCAGTGGGTTGGGCACTGCCCACAAACCAAAAGGTTGCCCATTTGATTCCCAGTCTGGGCACATGCCCCAGTTGCCTGCCAGGTTCGCAGTTGAGGGACGTGGGAGAGGCAGCTGATTGATGTTTCTCTCCCTCTTTCTCCCTCCCTTCCCAGCTCTCTTAAAAATAAATAAAATCTAAAACAACAACAACAAAAAATCCTGCCCATTGGTGTTGAGGGATTTAAGACCTTTTATTCACCCAGTAAATATTTCTTAAACTCTTACTACTAAAAACTATGCTGGCAACCTGGAATAATTGAGTTGAGAGAACCAAGCTTTTTGAATGAAACTTCACAAAATCCTTATATTTTTCACATTCACTTACAATAAATTAGTAAATTTTGGATATAAAATGCTGATAACAGTATTATTTCTAATGCATCTCTTACATACTAGAAACTTCAGGACCTTTTCACAATTTGAAACATGTTTGTGATTTTCTTACAGATAATATGCATAATACTAGGTTCTTTCCCCCATTTCTCCATCCAGTTTTTTTTCTTCTTCTTATTTTATGGTCCTAGAAATACACTATTTAAATATTTAGGATGGAAAAGGCTTTGGGTAACTTTTAATACAGTTGGCATAACTGAGTTGGTCATTTTCAACTTGATTACAATTCACAGGGTCATGGCCATTATCATTCCTTACAGTTATGTGGAGCCCTGATAGAAGCTGGCAGCACTCTAGTGCAAGTCTCTCCTCCCTCCCTCCTGACCATATAGTTCTAAGACCTGAATTTACATCCCTTAATCTCTTTCTCTTCCCTGTATCCTACCCTAACCCCCTTTTCCTAAATGCATGTGAAACACTTTGGTTAGTCAGGACCCCAAGTCACTTTATTTCAGGAAAAAGTGTTCGATAAACCACAGATGATAAGGTTTTCGTATAAGGGTAACTTAGAGGGAAAAGGGTTACTGCGTAAGCACTCCCCTACTTTATATACAAAAACTACTCAGTTCATTCTAGAATATCCTGGAGATCAAAATGGATCTTGAGACAAGGAGCCAGGCTTCTTGCCTCTACTGTCTGGAATTAAAGTCATTGCCAGTCCCTCTCAAGAAAGCCTATTGAGCACAAATTGGTTACTAAGGCTGGACTCAAATATTTTGTTAGCACTAGCGTTTCCTGAGTCCCTACCATGTGCCAAGCATTGTTCATAGGGAAATAAATTCATCAGTATCCACCTGGAGTTTACTCCGTAAGATGAGAGAGAGGGCATTGTGGAGCTATGTTAAATAAGGCTGTTTTAGAACTGTGCACAGTGCACTGTGGAAACTCTAAAGGAGGGACCTCCAGCCTAGGAAAATCACACAGCTGTCTATCCTGACTCCAACTCCACACATGAGCATGGGACAACTAGGCAGGGTAAGGGCATCCTGTCCTTGGAAACATTTAACTCTGGTTGCCATTAATTATTTTATTGGTTGTTAATGTCTTTGTCCTCCAGTAGAATGTAAACTCCCAGAACAGGAAAAGTACTTTATTCCCCTTTGTCTTGTCCACCGCTGCCTTCTCATTACTGCTTAGACACTTGGCACTTACTTGGAAGGCTTTGCTGTAATTATCTGTTGATTGGATGGATAAATGTGAGAGTAAATGGGACAGGCATTAGGCCTGTCTTTAAGGAGAAGTTAATGAAATTGACATCGCAGGTAATAATTGGAATGTAAACCACGTGGCCGTTAACAAAAGACAAGTACTTAGGGTGGCAGGAGGGAGGTATTTAACGTATCAGACACGTTCTCTGAGTGACTGGGACAGTGGATAGAAAGTAGGAAGGCTCCACACGTTCCAAAGAGATTTGGGGCTTTTTAAAACTGCACTTTTTTTGTAAATTAGCTAGTTACCTACTGAATTATTTTGGGACTTCAGAATGGCTCTAGCCTAAAGATACAGTGGTTCCTGACTTACTTCCACCTTTGTGACATTCCCCAAGGGACAAAGCCACGGAAACACCAACTTTTCTCAAATGCTAGGAAAGAAAGGGTGTGAAAACACCAGAGGCAGTATTGGCCTGGCTAGGTTCCCTGGAAAGCAAATTTCCGCGCAGCCCCGCCTCCACCGCCCCATCCCGCCTGGCTGGGGTCACGCTGGTTGTGGAGGCGGTCACGTGGCGTGTGCCTGCCTTTTGGTTGGCTGTGCTGCGGGAGGGCCTCTGAGCGTACGGGTCTCTCGTGCTCTGATTGGCTGCCGATAAAGGTGAAGGTGGCCTGGTTGGAGCTGCTGAGGGACATTCAGGAGCTGTGGAGGCCCTGGGCCCTGGGCCCTGGGCCCAGCCGTCAGAAACACAACGGGCCGCTGGAAGCCTCGGCCGGGTGAGGGAGGAAGAACGGAGCTGGGGCCCGGGACTCCCTGCGCCTTGCAAGGAGCGGAAGCCGACAGGTGAGTCGCGTCCTTTCTTCCCCGCTGGGGGTGATCGCCCCTCGCAGGGCCGCGGCGGACAGGCGGGATCGAGGGGCGCCCACCCGGAGAACGGACCCTGGTCTGATCTCAACTCCGTCTCTCTGGCCTGGGCACACACCCGGCACAGCAGGTCGGAAGTTTCTCGGAAAAAGTGCAGGCCCCACGCGATGGTTGTGTGGCTTTCGATCGCTCCCGAAGGTTCACTTCTTGGGACTTCGTTTTTCTTTGCTTATAGCTCTTGGTGTTAATGTGAAACTCAGCAGTTCATGCATGTTATAAAAGTAGACTTACACGGTAATTAAAATTATTGGTGTTATAGAGGGTCCCATATTATGAGGATTGTGCACATTACAGACGTGGATTTCACTGCTCAAAAATGTCTAATATGACGTATCAGATTGTTTTTTAACAAACACTTACTTTCGGTATGTGTAGGGTACAGGGCTGGGGCTGGATTCTGGAGCCAGGCTGTCGGGTTTAAATACCCTTTATTAGATGCGCAACCTTGGACAGGTTACCTGTGTTCTGTTTTTTTATTTTTCAAATGGATTGTTGTATATCCGAACACTCTGACTTATGGCATTAACCCCTTTCATCTTCACAATCACCCAGGCTGTAGTGTCCCCGTTTTTCCTGATGCTCAAACTGAGGCGCAGACGGGTGAAATAACGTCCTCTAGTCACCTCAAAGCATGACCAGGGGTTAAGCCCAGGCAACCCACAGTTTTAGCCACTACATTGGTACCTTTTGAACTTGGTTTATTCAGTTTCGGTGGACAAACACTAATTTCACTCCCCTGCAGACCAAGCTCTTTGCTGGCTACAGAGATAAAGCAGAAGAGCAGTCACAGCCAGCCCTCCCATTGCTTGCAACCTCCCGCAGGAAGTTCATAGTTGGGCTGCAGGGTCTGAATCCTGCTGAAATCTTTTGTAAAACAAGTATTGGTCTTTTTTTTTTTTTAATATAATTTAATTTAATTTTAAGAGTCGGGGGCTCTTACCAGGCTCTCTGATGGGTCTGTGATCCAGAGGTATGAAGAAACATTTTAGCAGAGGAGCTAGTGTTAGCATCACTAAAATTAAGCCAACAGAGCCCTGCTGGCTGAATGAATGATAAACTTAGAGGAGTATAGTGAGTACTGCAGTAGGGTCAAGAGCCGGTTGCTGGGGAGGAGCACACACAAAGGCTACCCCCTAGGAATGCTTCCTAGACACACCGCTGTCAGCTGGAACATGGCGACCAGCCCCTGCCCCCGTGCGCGGGGAGAGAGAAACGATACATGAACGGCTGCAGTTACGACAGTGGCACAGAGGAGCCGGCCATCGTTCCAGGAGAGCCTGTAATGGAAGCAGGAGTCTTCATCTATTCATGAAGATCAGGGACGTTTCCCTGAGAAAGTGACACTTACCCTAGGAGTTAGGGGCATGGGGGGCACGGGGACTATCCCTCAGTCTCCAAAGACCCTGTGTTGGGAACAGGTGGAGAGCACCAGGGACCCGAAGGGAGCTGATGTGGCTGGATAAGGCAGGGGGCAGGTGGGGTGGAGGTTGGGTGGCAAAGAGGCCTTGTAGGCCATGTAAGGTATTTTTATTTTGTTTTCTGTCTGTATCCTAAAGTGCCATTGAAAAGTTTATTGCAGGGAGGTGACAGGACCACTTTTTGAGGAGAAGCCCAAGTGTATTAACTGAAGATCCAGACAAGGACAGGGCCTCTGGGGCAAACTAACACAAGAAGAGGAGAGGGTCTAGAACCGATCGCTGAAGATGGGCCTGTAAAGGAGGCAGATGAAGGAAGGCCAGATGTGTAGGAAGCAAGGGTGAGAACTGAGAGTGGGAAGTCCCGAAAGTCGAGTGAGAGTGTCTCACGGGAAAGCGGTCACCTGTGCTGAGAGCTGCCGAGGCCGAGAGAGAGGAGGCAGAGCTACTCATTGGCTCTGATCACATGCAAGTTGTCTTTATTGGGAGCTGAGTAAGTAGGAGCAGAAAAAGTGGAAAGAGAAGGACCTGCAAGAATTAACCGAGGGGAAGAGGAAACTAGGGCTTTAGTGGGAGCAGCGGTGAGAGGAAAAGCCACTGAAGTGAGGGAGGGAGCCTCCGAGTGGAGGATACAGCTGAAGGAGCGAGTGTGTGAGGAAGCCAGGCTCCAGGGATCTGGGCCCAGGCAGGAGGGGGCCATCAGCCCTGGGCCGGGATGGCCCTGCATAATGAAAGCTGTGAGTGCGGGGAAGGGGAGATAGCAGAAGGTTTATGTTCAGTGTGGAGTTGCTCTCCTTTGTAGAAGGGAGAGGCAAGGGCATTGGGTAAGAGTGAAGGAGCGGGTGGTGTTTGGGGGAAGCTGCAGGTCTGGCTTGGGAAGATTTGACATATTTGGTGGGGCATGTGCAAGAATGAGTTGACCAGAGATTATTTTAGAGCAGTCTGGCAAGGCCAGAAATTAGCCTCCTGGCTCATTCAAGTGACTGCAAAATAGTAGGGAAGTACGGTTGGAAGCTAGCTACACACAGAAGCTACATTTAATGTATAATAAGGGAGGCATCACAAATCATGGGGAAGGAAAGGATTGTTTCAAAATGGTGCTTGGAGGTAAACTATTGATAAAATCTATTTTGATTCTCAGCTCACGATCAGAAATTTCAAATGAATTAAAAGAGCTAACCTGTAAAATTGAAACAAAAATATAGAGGGAAATACGGGTGAATTTTTATCCAACCATCTAGTGCTTAAAAGCAGTAGGGATCATAAAGAAAGGGAAACTGACGTGACCCTTGACCACTTAAAATTAACCACTTTGTACTGACTCATGCTATACTGTGTATAAACCTTGAAGACACTATGCTAGGTGAAGTAAGACAGAAACAGCAGGACAAATATTGTATGATCCCTCTTATATGAAATACCATGAACAAGCAAATTCATAGAGACGGAAAATAGAATAGAAATTACCAGCGGCTAAGAGGAGAAATGAGTACAGAATTACTGTTTAATGGGTACGGAGTTTAGGCTTGGGTTGATAAAAAAAGTTCTGGAAATAGTAGTAGTGGTTATACAACACTGAATTTACTTAATGCCACCGATAAAAAACAGCAAAAAGCAGGAATAGGTAATTCACAAAAGGCAATACAGATGGTCAGAATAATTTATTAAGAAAGGCTCAGCCTCACTAATAATAAATGAAAATGAAGTTAAATTAGTGTAGTAGTCATTTTCATATATCACAATTAGAAGTGATGAGAGAATCCCTCATACTGCTTGTGACAGTGTCGGTTGAGATAGTTTTTCTGGCTGGTAAATGAATGACTTCACACATCTCTTCTTCAGTATTTCTGCTCCTAGGAATTCATCCTGAAGGAAGAGATATGAAATGTGGACAGATATTCCGGATATAGCAAAAAAACAAAACAAAACAAAACAAAAAACAACAAATAGCCCAACTGCTCAATACTAGGAAATAAATTACAAAATTCTAGTATATCCATCCCATATACCATACACTCATTTTTAAATAGAGCATTTTTGAAACCAAGGTTTTGATATCTAAGTGGATAAAATAAAAGAATAAAATATATAAAGCAGGGATAGATAAAAGGAGGTTTACAGTGGTGAGTACATGAAACAGTTTATTCTTATATAATTATCTATTATATTATTAATACAACTGTAAGCCTACTTTTGCCCACCCTTGTATAATGTGTATTGATTGCAGAGGAGCCACATTCGTACTTCCCACTTTTGTAGTCAACTGTGTGTTCATGGGGGAGAGAGTGAGGTAGAGCAAGACAGACAGCTTCCATTGTTCAGAGAGCGCACAGGAACGCATGATAGTTCACCTCGGAGTAAGCAGGGGTCGGGGGACACCCTGCTTGTCCCTTAGCCTACCGGGCAAGGGCATCATGCCATGGTCAGTGTGGTTCTAATATTTAATGAGCTGTCCTTTTAAATAACATAACCCCCAGAGTAAGCCAGCTACTTCATCTGGGGCTTAGTCAGACACCGGGGTCTCTTCCAGCCCTGGAGGATCCCCTGGCTGCGCTGGACTTACCAGGAGATGGTATGTTAGTGTCCAGTGCGGTGCCTGCTTAAGAGATTTTCCAGGAAAATTATGAGTTTTTGCTCTTTTCACTTTATAGGCTGAGTTTAGAACCTAACTCATGTATAAGGCAGATTTATCTATTTAAAAATTGTAATAAAGGGGACAAGAAGCATAGGAAAAAAACTGGCCATGTTCACATGTCAGACTGTGAATAGTTGTCTGTATGTGATGAGATTATGAAAGACTTTCCACTTCCTTGTACCTTTCAGAATTTGGCAGATTCTTTATAGTGAAACTGCATTGCATTTATAAGCAGTTATTTTGCTTATAAAAGCATTTAAAATACAATTTTGAGTTATTCTTTGTAAATAATGCACTTCTGTCGAAAATACAATTTAAAGTCATATTACTACAAGAATTTTAGCTCCAGATGTTTCTGGTAATGGCTACATTTATTGAGTACTTGGGCTGTGTACCAGGCTCTGCACAAAACACCTGACACGCATTTTAACCCTTGCAATATTCCTGTAAAGTTTGCCTGCTGTTCTGTTTTACAGGTGGTGCTCTTGTTATTACAATGAATACTTACTGAACATTTACTGTGAGGCTCTGTTCTAATTACTGCTTGTTCACGTGTGTAATCTGAGACTAAGTAACTGTCCCAGCGTAATCCCATAAGGTAGCGCCAGGGCCGGGCACGGGCAGTTGGGCTGCCGAGCCCACACGCCCTCCAGCCTGTGGTGTGGAGGTGGGGCCACGAGCTAGCGGGGACCCCAGACAGTGTGGTGAGGGCCTCCAGCTGAGATGTGCCCTTGTGCTTCCTCATGCTCTCCTTCCTGGTAAAAGCTGTGGTCTTCTTAGAAATGTTTAAAAATACTTTTTTATGTACATCTTGGCTATTAGAGAGTTATATCAAGGAAGCTGGTATTAGGAATTATCTGAGGAAAACTCTGGTTGAACCACCAGTAGAACAGAAGCCCTGCCTACAATTATTTTGGACCTCATAGGCACTAACTGAACTAAGTAAGTAAACCAAAATGAGAACATTGTTACTTGTTACCTTTCCTTAGAGAATAATCATTTATAGGGATTTGTTAGGCAAGGCTTGAAAGTGAAGAGTCATTGGCGTATATGGCAAGGGTATTATTAAGGGCAGGGATGGGAAATGGCTTTGTACAGTTTTTCTTCAAACCTACGAATAATAAAGGAAGGCGGCTGCCTAGCAAATAGCTCATTACTGCACTTTTGTGGTGGAACTGGGACACTTAACTCTCAGGTACTAAAAGTTAAAACAACAAACTGCGTGTTTTCACTATCAGAAATATAAGAAAATAGTGCCAAAGGGTACAGTGCATCAGGCACAGCGTAGCCATTTCTAGGTACCTAACACTGTGAAGCGGGGGCAGCTGGGTAGACGGTCCTAAACGCATGTCCCCCTTGCACAGCTAACATGCCTTCCCGTGGCTCCATGGGGCAGTCACAGGGCATCTCAGTGTACTCGGCTAAGGCTGACTTCGATTCTGGATTTATAAAAAGGATTTTCACATAAGTCTGATAGAACAAGCATACATTCATTAACTCATTTTAAATAAATTAACTGACTTATTTGGGGTTAGTTATTAAGCAAAAATATTTAAATTAGAGAGCCCCCCCCCCTTTAAAAAATATTTACTTCAGTTCAGCTAAACATAACCTTAAAAAGGTAAAATGTTAAACCCGGGCTGGTGTGGCTCAGTGGATTGAATACCAGCCTGCAAACCAAAGGGTTGCTGGTTCAATTCCTAGTCAGGGCACATGCCTGGGTTGCAGGCCAGGTCCCCAGTAGGGGGCATGTGAGAGCAACCACACATTAATGTCTCTCCCTCTCTTTCTCCCCCCCTTCCCCTCTCTCTAAAAATAAATAAAACCTTTTTTTAAAAAAAAAGAAAGAAACCTATGTGTGTATGTAAGTAAATAATCTGTGTGGAGAGTCAAGAGAAACATCAGAGTTGTAGGAGGGGGAATTTGTCAAAAAACACCCACAGTCTGAATCTGGGAACTTTTTCTCCTCTTGCTTCTGATCTGTAAACTAGAAATAACCACTTCACAAGCTGCAAAACTCTAATAGACTATGTATTTATAAAATATAAGATGTCTGCATGAAGAGGTATATTTTATAAATGATCCAAGAGGATATATTTAGTATTTCACATGAGTGGTTTTCCTAATTTAATCCATGTTATGTCCGTGCTTAATGCTTCCAGGTCAGCTTTGTGTTCTATCGGTCAACACCCTTTACGTTAAAACCTATGTTTTCTTCCTTACAGGCACCCTGAGCTACACCCTGAGTCCCGGGACGGTGGGGCTCGCCAGGGCATTGCAGGCATGTTGTGGAAGCTGCTGATGAGATCCCAGCCGTGCAGGCTGTGCTCTTGCAGAAAGATGCTGTCAGCTCCCAAACACAGGCCTTTATTAGCATGCTTCACCTATACAACTGACAATCAGTCAAACAAAGAAAACAAAAGGACGATAGAAAAGCTCTATAAATTTTCAGTTGACGTCAGGAAAATTCGCAGATTGAAAGGATGGGTACTTTTGGAGGATGAAACCTATGTTGAAGAAATTGCAAATATTTTACAGCAGCTAGGTGCCGATGAGACCGCTGTCGCCAGTATCCTGGAACGCTGCCCTGAAGCAATCGTCTGCAGTCCAACCGCTGTTAGCGTCCAGAGGGAGCTCTGGCAGTCGGTCTGCAAAAACGAGGACGAGTTAGTCAAGTTAATAGAACAGTTTCCAGAATCTTTCTTTACCGTTAAAGACCAGGAGAACCGGAAACAGAACGTTCAGTTCTTTCAAGAGCTGGGACTCAAAAATGTGGTCATTAGCAGATTTTTGACAACTGCATCTAGTATTTTTCATAATCCTGTTGAGAAAAATAAGCAAATGATAAGGATTCTCCAAGAGAGTTATCTAAATTTAGGTGGCACTGAGGCCAATGTGAAAGTCTGGCTACTAAAGTTATTAAGCCAAAACCCATTTATTTTATTAAATTCTTCTGCAGCTGTAAAGGAAATACTAGAATTTCTCCAGGAGCAAGGTTTCACAAACTTTGAAATTCTCCAACTTCTGTCTAAACTGAAAGGGTTTCTTTTTCAGCTTGATCCAACAAGTATACAGAACAGTATTTCCTTCTCTAAAAATGCTTTTAAATGCACACTTCATGACCTGAAACAATTAGTTTTGAAGTGTCCTGCCCTTTTATATTATCCTGTTGCTGTTTTGGAAGAGAGAATTCAGGTATTATTGAAGGAGGGAATTTCCATAGCTCAGGTAAGAGAGATGCCAATGGTTCTTGAATTAACACCGCAGATAGTACAGTACAGGATAAGGAAACTGAATTCTTTAGGCTACAGAATAAAGGATGGACATCTAGCAAATCTAAATGGAACAAAAAAAGAGTTTGAGGCGAACTTTGGTAAAATTCAGGCCAAAAAAAAGCGGCCATTATTTAACCCTGTGGCGCCATTAAATATTGATGAGTAACTTGCTGACTGATATGGCTTCTTCCTGGCAATGCGGAGTGAAACTGAATAGCAAATACACATGATTCACCAGTCTGTAGGCACCAGTAATTTTAAGAAACTACTGGCTTCTGAGTTGTGTGTAAAGTACCTGTAATAATCTCCAACTCATTTGCCATATGTGTGTGTCCGTGTGTGTGTGTGATTAATCCTTACCTGAGGATATGTTTATTGCTTTTAGACAGAAAGGGAGAGAGATATGGATTGGTTGCCTCCTGTACCCTGACCAAGGATCAACCCTGCAACCTAGGTATGTGTCCTGACCAGGAATTGAACCTACAACCTTTTGTTGTATGGGATGATGTTCCAACCAACTGAACCACCCAGCCAGGGCTCATTTGCTATATTTTGAAATATAAATTGCATTTATTTTAAGTAAAGTTGGTAATTTGACCTTAATCTCTATTTTAAAAAGTCCTATACTATTAAATGACACATCAGTGTGATAATTTTATAAGTGAATCATTTCTAGGAAACTGACAAGTGTACTCCCTTAATTGAAGGGAGTTAATTTAACCTCCCTTGAATTTAAATGTTTAAAATCTATATAACACATTTTAATGCAGCCTTTTTCCTTACCACCAGCTCGGAAACATCACTACTGTGGTCTGAATTCTCTTAGTGTTAAGTGAAACATCAGCAAATTTCTAATACATTTTTTAGAGAAAGCTGATTTTATATCGTTGGAATAAATGAGTATCTTTCAGAAACAAGTATGACTCATCCAGAAAGAACAATTAGAGCTTGCTTGTATGGTCAGCTTGTTTAAAATTGACCATTTTTCTCTCCGTGAAATGCTTTTAAGTGCATTCACTACTTTCCCCATTTTTGCAGATGAGAAAACTGAAGCTTAGAGAGGTCACTCAGCTGCCAAATGACAGAGCCCAGATTTACTGTGATCTGACTTCTTTTCAAACCTTGTGAATAGAAAAAGGATTACCTGAGTTGGCGTAAGGAAAGTCACCCCTACCTGACCTGCCAAAGGAATGAGTACCAACAAATTTAAGGATTTTTATGAAAGCTTCTCTGTAAAATTCCTTAAATTTGAAATGATTTAATTTATAAACAATTGAAGTAAATGGAGCATTTTTTAAAACTTTTCTGAAAATCCAGGTCTGCCTTTTAAAACAAAATGTGTATGATGGTTCTAGTAGCATTTCAAATTTTTATTTCTTCATCTTGTTCCAAGATAAACATTACCCACATAAAGACTGGCCCGCTCTCAGCTGTAGAGTTTGAACTTTGTGAAAGTACACAACCAAACGATTGACTCGGACACCACCCAAACATCTGTGTGCATGGTCTCTTATGCAAGAAATTGTGAAAAATCCAGTCCGTGTCTTCATTCAGCCAATGCAAGTAACCCTCACAATTCAAACCTGGTCAGTTCTTCAAGAGAGTGAAAGAAATCCCCCCGCAGCACCAGCTAAGTGCCAGGCACATGGTGCCTGGGAGTACCATTGTTTACTCTTCTACAGATTAGGAGACTCAGGCACAGAGAGGGTTAGTTACTTACCCAAAGCCACATGGGAATGTTTGTTCAAGAAAAAAATGGCAGTGCAGTGCGGGCAGGGAGAGCGGTGCAAGGTGAGGCGAGCGTTGCAGGGCCCTCTAAGGAGCAGAATCTTGAGTGTGATAGGAAACCCTGGGAGAAACTTCAGTTCACGCTTGTTGCCCTGACGGTGGTCAGTGGTGCTCTCTCCCTCTCTCTCTGCCAACTGTCTCAGTTCAAAATACATTATACAGTCACCTTTTAGGTGACTTTCAGTTTTGGAATGTCTATTAGATACATGAGCAGAGAGGCCAGAGGCCGATGGTGAAGTCTGGAGTTGGAGCAGTCAGGACTGGACAGGGACCTCAGGCTGTTCCTCTGGATGAGCTTACCCATCCTAGGAAGGGCTAACCCGGGGGAGAAGTCTGCCAGGAGGAGAGGGCATGGCCGATAATGGTCGATGCCATGGAGAGGCCAGTGAAGACACAGACACGTGACCAAAGGAGTTGGCAAGCAGGAAATCATTAGGGGGCCCTATTACCAGGAGTGACTGGTGGGCTGAGAAAAGTAAGAAGGCTACTGCAGTGGGTTGAGAGAATAGACAAAGAGGGAGAAACGACAGTTTTTCAAGAAATTTTGCTGTGACATTTTTCTTTAAAGCGAGCAAACACTAAGACATGTTTACGTGCTGACGGGGATGACCCCCGAGAGATGGATGAAAGAAGGAAAACTGTAGGATTAATGTCCTTGAGGGAGGGAAGAAGGGCAGACTGGAAAACAGCCGATACTAGTTCCGGTGCATGGAGTGCGGGGACAGGAGGCGGCGGGCTGACGGAGTGGGTGGCGTGGGAGGCAGGAGGGATGAAGTGCAGTCATTCCAAGGAGCGGGAAAGTGAACGTACAGGAGGGCACACAGGAAGGTTTGCTAGAATTGCGCGTCCGTGTGTGCTTTGTGGCCGTTAATTTAAAAAGAGCCTAGTCAGTATAGCAGCGAATCTTAGGGCCCAGCCCAGACAACCAGAGACACTTGTAGTTTCAGAAATAAGTTTGTAGCTTACTGTAACTTGGAAAGATGGAAAAGAAAATCCCCCATTTGTGGTCAAAAATCCAGTATATTGACTTTATTTTTCCTTAGACCGAATCTTATTACATGTTTTCTTTTGTAAGCCTTTGAATCTTTTTCCATTCTTGCATTCTTATTTAGATCTTTCTGTGAGTAAAATTTAAAATATTCAAAAGCAACAACATAGCAAGAAGAGATACTCTTACATAAAACACTATAGTTAAATTTTACTTCCTGTGTGGGGAAAAAAGGCTCTAGTAACAAAATTAAATTATTTCCTTTAAGTAATTCATGTATAATTATACTAAATTCATGTCTGTGGGAACATGAAATTAGCTGCCAAAGTAAATATGGTCACCAGGAGGACTCCGGCGAGTTCAAGTTCGAGAGGCTGGTAAATCAAGCACACAGGCAGCACTGGCGCCGCCGGCAGGTGCGGGACTAGTTAGGGAGCGGCCCCATTTCTGTTTCTGGATGTAAACTGGAGAAGTTGTGACACTAATTCAGACGTGATACGGGAAATTCAGCTAACATTAAAAGTTAGCCTGTTCCATGTTTGTAGAAAGAGAATAAAGATACTTTCCTCATATGGATTAAATCAAATCGTGTAAGGACAATGCCAGGTGGGTAAGTAGATGCCCAGTAAATACCCGTTTTCTACCTTCCTCCAGCAGGTTCCCGTCCCGTTGAGTCATTTCGGTCCAGTGAGAGGTCTGAGTTGGTTCCACAGCTACTTAACGACAGAGGGAAGTGCTCACTATTTTTTAACTTCTCTTTCAGTTCCCAAATTTTAGAGGGCACAGGAGTCACCTGCAGAGGTTGTTACACTGCCGTCCTGGGCTCTGCCCTGCAGAGATTTAGCAAATTGGGGTAAAACCTAGAAGTCTACATTTTTAATCTTTAGTAGAGTTGTTTAAACTATGTTTGCATTTATTGTGTTGGCATCAAAATACATTTTCAGAGAGATTTTTATCTTGTTCATTAGAATAAAAAAATTTAAAAACTGGCTACAGTACTCTGAACTTCCATGTAACTAAGCATTTAAAGACTACCCTGTTTTAAATTTCCCTTTATTTCCTTTGACCTTTATGAAACATTTCATATTTTGCAGATCATAGTGCTTTATTAACAGATTCATGTATTCTTTTCCCGTTTCTTTAATACAAAAAAATTCAGTCATCAGTTATTTTCATCTGACATTTCTTTCACTAAGTGCAGGATTCATATCAACATAATTAGATCAACCAGGGGGTCACACACGTTTATCCTTATTGTGAAAGCTGAATAACAGATGCCCCAGGTATATACAACAATCTTAGTTTCTTGAAGTGAATTAGTACTATTTAACAAGTCAAATTGCTAATCTACAAAAATAAACTGGAAAAGACTCAAGTGTATAGCTATACATATCAAATAGCAAGTTCATTTCAACCAGAACCTCCATAAATAACTGTTCATTTGTATAGTTCTCTGCTATCATTGCAAAACCTCTCCTGAACAGTTCGAGTTTGGAATTTAAAACAAACTTGGTAAGATAACATATACCACATGGCTTTTCTGTAGCAGAAATTACAACTATTTTCCTCAAGCAATTTTAAAGACACGCAGTTATAAATATGCAAGCATACAGTGAAATAAAGTTTAGAAATTCAGGTACAAAGCACAGCAGAGCCTATGACTAGAGATAAATTAGAAATACAAACCAACAATAATTTCTTTCAAATAGCAGGAAACAGGTTCTCCACTACCATTATTTAGATCATTATTTGTGGTCATCTATTATTAATTTTGGATTTTTTTCAAACCCTATTCTAATTATGATATCTGACCAGATACACCAACAAGGTTACCTTAAGTAGTACAGCATGAAATGGCCGTTTAATTTCTGATGAACTGAGCTCCTTAAAGACTCTTCAGTTTTGTTTACTGTAGAAAAGGTTCAAGAACCTTTGTAGATTTTCTTAAAATCCCTCCTGGTATTTATGAAACTTTTAAAAGTTATGTCCTTATCCATTTCTTAATCCACATTATGAATGTAAAACTTAGTCATTTACAAGCAGACATTTCAGCCTTGTGCTGGAGTCATCTGTTTTGAGTTCTGAGAGGTGCTGTTCGACTGACTGACTCCAGAGCATTGTGCCTTTCCTCCCCTCCCTCGTGAGGGGGCCGTGCGGGAAACCGTTCAGAACGGAGGCAAACTTCCAGACACAGATGCAAAGGAAACAGATTGTTTTCCGGGTTTGGATTATAAGGCATGTCAAATATGTATACACTTTTTAAATTTTTATGAAACAAAAACCAAAAAGATGAATTTCAGCTAAGTCATTTTCTTGAGAATGAGATATTATGAGATATGTTAAGACATGACAGATCATTCATCATCAAAAAATTCAACTCCGTGCCTGAAGTTGACTTGGAAGATGATACAAAGTCGACAGTTGTTTTAAAGGAGAGTACGATAAGGTTTTAAAAGTCTATAAACCATTGAGCACTTAAATATTTTACATTCAAAACTACTCTATGGAGCCCATTTCATTCAATTTAAAAGTCAACCCCACTTATTTGTGGTTCTTTTACTATCTTTTTTTTAAAAGAAGTACCCCTAATAATTTAAGCCATCCTAGAGATAAAATAGGTGGGAAGAATTCTTTTTATTGGATGTGCTAGGTAATTTTTAAGAATTTAAGATTGTTTCTCCTTAATCTGAAACTTTACCAACATATCTTCTGACCAGCAAAGAAATGTTCCTTAGGCACTGTGAGGTGTATGGACGATGGAGCATGAACCCAGGCTGAAGCATAGTTTGGTTATAACTACTGACAGTTAACAGAAAGTTAACAAGCACTATCTTATCTGCTAAGAGCAAGAAATGCCTTTATTCTATCACTCCTGAGGTTCTTAGGGAAAACTAATTTTTCATAAACAACTTTTAAGAGAATCCATATATAATTCTAAGAACTGCACATATTCAGGGTATTAGAAAAGATGTTTTATAAGGCATTGATTAAATTAATACGCATGTCTAACAAAAGATGGTTAACACTCAGGATCATAAAACCATTTATCTTTTAAATTTCTCTAAATCCTGCTACTTTTACCAGCTTAAATAAGAAACGAATGCCTCTTGGCCTAATCAACTAGGATTATTAAGAAAACAAAGACATCTGAAACTATTAGGCACATCAAAATTACAGTTTATGTAGGTCAAAGTTACCCTTCTTAAGGGGCAGATGAGTTACCTGGCACGTTATACACATGGAACTGTAAAGATCATCTACTAAATTCAACTTTCACATTTTTAGTTAAAGTAAAAGACATAGTAAATACTCAAATATATCTTCAGTTACAACTGAATAAGTGTAACATTTTACCAGATAAAAAGCTGGAATTTAAGTATGAGAAACCTTCATACACTGTGCTAGTATTGGTCTCTTCTTTTTAGATGAAAGCCAGTCATCAATACTTTCAACACAGCAGTTTAAGAAGATAAACGTCCAAAACAGTTGACTTAGTGTGGTCCGTAATTTAGCAATTCAATGCCACTGGCATCATAATGCTGTGGAGAACAAGCGCATCTCCATGTTTTAGTCAGATTTGTCTTTCTTCTTTCCTGTTAAGGGCACTTTGTTCACAACAGCAGATCCAACCGCGGTAACACCTCCGGCCACAGCAGACACGCCCCCTTTCACCAGCCCTATTCCCATTGAAGGCACCGTTGTAACAGCTGTTTTGGTCACCTCCAGACTTTTCCCACCAATCCAAGCCACACCACCAAGAGTGGCACCAACAGCTCCCTTTGTAACGCTGAAGATACCCCCGGTCACACGGGACAACATGCCTGGTTGCTGCTGTGGGTGATCTTTCATTGAACCTAATGAGAGAAAATAAGACAGTTAAATATATGTCTTTATAAGAACAGTACAAATCATTAAGTAACCTAAGACTTCCTAACAATCAGGAGGTGGTTTTGAGAAGGCCAATCACATAAATACAAATTCCCATGTTCAGCAATAGCTAAATCTATAAAAATAGAATTTTTTATTGAAACTATCTGATAATAAGCATAGTTAATATAAGTTTTAAAATAGCTGAAATAAAAGGCTTAAGATACAGATAAGCATTTGAATATATAGTTTTCATCCCTTATCTACAGTTTCACTTAGGCAGTTTCACTTACCCAGAGTCATCCATGGTCTAAAAATATTAAACAGTAAATTTCAGAAATAAACAATTCATAAGCTTTAAATTGTGTGCCACTCTGAGGAACATAATGAAATCTTGGACCATCCCCTCCCTCCCCCAGGAGATGAACAATCCCAATGTCTGGTGTATTCACACCACACACATACAGTACGAGATTTTGAGAGAGACAACTTTCATGTAACTTCTTTTACAGTGTTTCATTGTAACTGTTCTCTTTTATCAGTTCTTGTTAATCTCTTACTGTGTCTAATTTATAAGATAAGCTTTATCATAGGCATAAATGTATAGAGAAAACAGTATTTATAAGGTTCGGTACTGTCGAAGGTTTCAGGCACCCACTGGGGGTCTTTGAATGTATCCCCTGTGGATAAGGGGGAACTATGGCATTAATTATAAAATTATGATAGACAGGATTATGTAATTGATAATTCTTTTGTAGTCAAGGTCAGTAACATTAGGGAAGGGGGAAAATCCTGATTTGAGGATAAAACAGGTAACTGCTTCATACTGAATACCTCATGTAGGATTATGCAACTATGCTAAACTTGGTGCACATTTAATAAAGACAAAAATTTTTTTAATTTCTTAATTACAGTCGGAGGCAATTTTCTTAAATAAATATTAATGCTGTTGATCTCTTTAATTACAGTGTGCTCTTAATTACCACCATATAAATGATTCACTTTGCAGACCCCTCGTGCTTAGCAGGCCGCCACGCACAGCCATTGCTCTCTCCTTGACAGTCATGCTCCCGGACACCCTTTATCTCTCTCTTTCCTGATGACTTTCTCACAAAGTCCCTATTAACTTTCTCACTGAGCCCTAACTTCTTTTCAAAACTCAGAGTTCTCATCCTAAAAAATACAGCAAGGAACACGGGTGGGCTAATAATTTTCTAGGCTATTCCTCCACTAAACTAAAACTAATCAGTTTAGTTACCCCCATCCTCTTTTAGGCTTAAGTATGAACTGCTCATTGTGTTTATTTTTTAGCAATTCCGTTTTTGTCTACCAACATAAGAAATATAAGAAGAAAGTTTTGGACAGTGAGTAACAGAACTGGGACAAAATAAAATACGTAGGGCTGGAAGTTCGGATCCAGCCTCTTCCTAGAGACATCCTAGTCCCACCTGCTAATCCAGTCGGTCTGTCAGTCACTTCATCCCTTATTCTCCAGTTTGATTCTTTTTCTTACCTACTGTGATTGTCCTGTACAAAACGTGCAGTTGTCTAAGGAGATTACTATTTGAATTAAGTGTAATAATATTCTATACCAAACCATAAAGTTCAAAAGGCCTGCAGGCATTTTCTGTGTACCGTTGGGACATTTAGCTGTACAGTTAGTGTTTCCAAGGATTTTTGAAAGTCAGAATAAAATGGTTCAAGATAAAAACAATTTTCAAACTAAAAGAGAATTTAAGAAGACCCTGACACCATGTATAACACAGGAAGACAGCTACCAATTATAATGAAATGATGGGAGTTTAACAACAAATCTCAAGGACCTCTTGAGTTTTTTAAATGTACAATATCAACACTAAACAGTCCATCTTTCATTTGCATCCTACCCCACTCTACAAATGACATGATATTCTTGTGAAATTGTCTCAAAATAAGAGTAACTGAAAAAATAGATCTTATATAATCAAACAATTACATTATGGCCTCCATTCACCAATATCTGTGTTTTCTTACAGAGGCTTAAAAAGTTTACCACCCATTACTTTTGGAATCTATTTAACTGACAAGGTAAATGGTTATGTTACTTTAATAAAAACAGAACTTTGATTCAGCTGGGTATTTTTTTCTATTCTTAAGTGTTACAGATGCATACTTACCTTCTGGTGGTTCATCACTTAGGTAAGATGGGACTTCTTGTTGATTTTTATCTGCCTGATTCATGATCTAAAAAACATATAACACATTTCACTTTAACCTCAACGTGTGAGACTGCTTCTTATCACATGTTCAATGAAGACTTAATTGACTTTACTTAAGGTAAACAGCATGTTTAAACACCCATAATTAGACTGCTTCACCTTGTTTCTCTCCTACTTTGTGGTGTTTAAGAAATACTTTTAATTACACTAGTCGACAATATAAATCTTAAACATCAACCAAAGAGTGGCAGGAATAGTACAAGCTTTCCCATGTTGTTACTGCTACTTCAGTTAAATTGAAGATGACTGACTGAAAGAAAGTTGAGGGTTAGCAGACAAAAATTTTTAAGTGCTTCATTCTACAGAATATTACCCAACTTAATTGTAATGTATTTCACAACACACTTAGAGAAACACCTATACTATAACTAAAAAGTGTTCTAAAAAAACATGGCATCCTCCTTTAGAGATGACACTATCAATGTGAATCACTAAGATGGATTTTAATTACTTATTGTTTTTAGTGCTCTTATAAATAGATAACAAAAGAATCCAAAATTTACCATGAAAAAAAAAAGTACTATGATTACCACTACAAGTAGAAAAAAAAAAATTCTAAGTTGGGATGAAGAAAACATAGTTAAACTTTCTTTGCCCAATTTCCTTTACTGTTTTAAAATATTTGTTCTTACAGTCATTTGAAAGATTAAAACAAGTCAACACTGGCCTAAGAGTTTTGCTTGGCCAGATAACAAGGGGTGCGGTCCTGGCAGCCAACTAAGTATCCTCACGGACCCTAAATTACTGTATCTGTGCCTCTCCAACAGAGATTAAAAGGGGTCTGTGAAATCCTGCCACTTGTGACCGGAGGGCAGTATGCTAAGTGAAATAAATCAAAAAGCAGCAGGAAACTGGCAGAGGCATTGCCAAACTGGCAGTAAGAAAAAGAGGTCAAAGAGTGAGGTGTGGATTGCACAGGCCCTCCCTAGCAGGCCGTGGCGGCCAGCTGTTAACCGTGAGATGGGGGCCCGTGAAAGGCTCTGAACAGAGAAGGGTGATGTGCTGTGATTTATGCTTTCAAAAGACTGTTCTGGCTCTTGGGGGGAGAACACACAACAGGAGAGCAAGACCCTTCAGGAGACTGACCCTAACAGTCTCAATGTATTGCAGCTCCTTTCAGAACAAAGTGGTTAATTTCAGGGGGTCAAAGGAAAGTCAAGGAGGTCTCCCTTTCCTTATGATTCCTAATGCTTTTAAAGTACCAGACGATCAGATAAAAATTCATCTATATTTCAATAATCGAGGCAAAAATGGTGGTAAATGAGGATGGTAGGGGTAGTGGTTGTTAGATGTGGGGTTTTTCAAAGGTAATTTCAACTTGATGTAATTCAGCTTGCAGTGCCTTTAAAACCTAAATCCTGTGTCACATGGGACTTAGTAGTACATGTCAGGTGCTTAAATAAGTATCTTTTAGTTGCTGTAGTGAAAACCCTGACTCGGGCCACTAATCCCATGCTGGTCCGGTTTGTGAATTTAGCACGGTATCTCCCCCCGCCCCCCACAAGATTTAAAGTAATAGTAAAGACACGTAGTTTCTGACAAGAAACAAACAAAAAAGAAAATATCAGGTGATACATTACTGAGAAGAGTTCTTGACCGACTTGCCTTAATTTTAAAACTCCCCTAAACCAGAATGTTAAATTTGTTTCTGTTCATATTTGCATGTCTTTCATTTATCCTCATGGTAACATCATTAGGAATTGTACAGCATAATGTTTAAGGTTCTGGGATCAGAGAGTCTGAATCTGAATCCCACCTGGACTATATAACCTGTGTGGCAAAGGACAAATAACGTCAGAGATCCTTGTTGTTCAGGAAATATCAAATAGAAATTAGATATTCCAGCCCTAACTCTAAGGCGAGAGTACTGTTTAACAAGTGCAAAACAAAACATACAGATATTCCTGGCAGAATATATGTGACCCTTCCTAAAGAATAATTATTTTAGAGCTGCTTTTCTTACCTACTGCACTGTTAGTTCCTGGGAGAGAGACACTTTGTCTATCTTATCCATCACTGTAATCCCAGTATCTGCATACCACGCACATACAAATCCAGATCACCTGTTCACTGATAGAGATGCTACCATACCCTGTACAGAAATATGGGGAAATTACATACACATATGTGTCTTACATATTTTAGGAGGATGAAAGTAACTGCATACATTTCAAAACTGCCTTCCTGTATCTATCCCAGAAATCACTACTAAGAATCTTACCTTTTCCTCCTAATGCAGAATCCCTTTTAAAAACTATTCTTAATTTTTCAACATAGATCTTGTAATTATTTTTTTAAAAGACCACCATTTAGAAGATTAGAACTGGTATGACGGCATAAAAGACAAGTGCAAATCCACCTAAATAATATGGACTGACTGCATCCTCCTGTGGGAAGGCAATGAGGAGCCGTGAGCAGAGTAACATTGTCGAGCCTGTGCTTTAAGCAGCTAACTGATTAGAAAGGATAAATTAAATACAGTAAGTGGCTACGGTAGCAGTTCAATGAGACGGAATAATAATCTGAACTCTGCCAGTTTTTCCTGTCTAAGTAAGTGTTTGGGGCAAAAACTTAGGAGTCACTCTTGATTTCCTCTTAACATTTCCACCTAATCATCGGTATACTGTCACCTAAATAAATCCAGCGTAGGACTCCTTGTCACCTCTGCTGCTACCACTATCAATTAAACCATCATAATCTCTTACTTGGACTCAAAAATCTCCTATCTGGTCTCCAAGCTTGCACTCTTGGAAGACCAGACCTTTCAGTCCAGCCATGTCATACTTGGCTTAAAACTCTCCTGTTGTGTCCTGTTTTTCTTAGAATAAAATTCGGAGTCCATCTCTCCACCTCCAAACCCCAACATCTAACACTCCGATGTCATCTCTTACCTTCTGCCTCTTGCTCCTTCCTCTAGCAACAAGCAGCTTCCTTACCTTCTCCTGAAAGGGTCTTCCCCAAAATACATACATGGCTTGCTTCCTTACTTCCTTCGGGTCTTTGTGCAAATATCCCTTTGTCAAAGGTCTTCCCTGACCACCTTATGATAGATAAGCACACTCCTACTCCTCTCCCTAGCATTATCACCTAACCCTGGTGTATTTTCTTCATTGCACTTATTGTCACTTGATACATGTATCTGTTCACTTTGTGTCTTTCCAACTAGAATGTGAGCTGCAGGAGAACAAGGCTTGGTTTTGTTCACTGTTCCATCCGCAGAGCCATATCAATGCCTGATACACGGACACTCAAGAACTTGAATTTTTTGTATGAAGTAGAACATAACTTTTGGTATTAATGTGAGATAGAATATAGGATGTAAAATTTCTAGTGTGAGCAACTAGGTAGGCAGAGACGATGATGAAGACATGGGACAGGCAAGGAGAAACCATTAAGTTCTGAGAGAAGATGGACTTTTAAAATTTTATTGTTATAAGAACACTTAACCTAAGATCTACCCTCTAACAAGTAAGCGTATAATACATAATTTTTGACTATAGGTACAAAGAAGCGATTGTTTCTGAACAACTGTATTTAAGATGCCTTCAGGGCATTCACAGAAGTTTAGCAGGCAATTGGATTTAAGGGACTTGAAACTCAGCATGAAGTCAGAGTTCGTTTTAAGATTCTGCAGAGTGGTTTGAAGTGATAGCTGAAGCTGTGGAGCAGCGGTGATATGATCAAGGAAAAGAGTGATGAGAGAGACGTAGACTGATAACTGGACTGCTCATATTTCAGAGGTGAAAGAGGAGCCAACAAAAACAAACAAAGTATACCAGAAAATTAACAGTCAAATGAGAACAGCCTCATGGAAGGCAAGAGATGGATTTTTAAGCTTCTTAAAACACACACACAATGCAGACATTAAGCTAATTTATGGGGAAATGCTAATGTTACAATTAGAGAATATAAAAGGCATACATTATTGATCCAACTTTTTTTTTAATGCACATAAAAATACTGGAAGGAAGTATATCAGAGTGCTGACAGATTGCCAGTAGGGGGTGGGAAAAATTTTATACACAAACACACATACCAGTATATATTTTTCCCACCCCCTACTGGCAATCTAGATATATACATAGAGAGAGAGAGAAATACATATTTAACATCTATATTTTAATTCCCTACCATAAACAGATATTACTTTTGTAATTAAAGAAAAATAAATATTTTTAAGTCTTAGAAATCAGTGATATACATAAAGGATATTTTTAAAGATTATGCAGCTCTAGAATATACCGTTATTCTAGGTTTTCATCCACAAGTTGATCATCTGTAAAACAATGTACTTGAATCACAAAAGGCTGACTTGAGGAAAACGACATCACTGAGTTTTATTCATGATTATGTCCTTGGAAAGGAAGCGCTGACAGACAGCCTTATGCATGCTACTCCTAAAGTGACCACACCGCACTGGTAAGGAATTACCCACTAACTATATGACTTGACAGCTTTGACATGGAGCTCTACAGAAGAGATTTCTTTAGAGGTATTTAAAACCCTTTTGTTTCCCCAAAATATTTAGCATGTTTTCTTCTTTTTGAGACCTATGTACTTTCCTGTATAAAGATGACAAAGGTGTGATGTCTCCCTTTTCCCTTTGGCTTCCAGGAAGCTTAAAGCTAAAATTCCTGCTCAACCTGGTAAGTTTCTGTGACCTGCTTTGTTGTGTCCTGTCCCTCCCACCCCCAACTCCACACCTCCTTGAAGCTTCCACTCATAATGCTGTTTTCCCTGGTCTGCAATTTGAATAACTTACTTATATTCTTACCATTTTGTTGGTACATGTTTTTGCTATAAACTGACACAAACTATTTGTGGAATAAGTGGGATAAAAATATCACCTGTATCCACATTAATTTTAAGCATCATAAGAAAAGATGCATACCAATGTATGGTCCAAATGTGCAGTTAAAAAAACACACACACACTTTAAGCTAGCATCATGCTTTTCAAATGTACATCTTCGTGACCGGGCAACGGTATGCCAGGGGCCTCAAGAGCCACAAGAGAGACATGGTGCATGCACTTTACTACATAATAATTTAAAATACTACATTGTTTTTAAATATCCACTAATTAAAAAGTTAAAGTGCTTGGGAATTTTTAAAGATACTAGACATCCCAGAAATTTCATTCTCGCCTGGAGCTGCCTCAGGGTATTCTCAGATTTGCCAGCCCTCTCTTCCCAGTCCAACCACATTCCCACATCCCCCATGACTTTGCTTTTAAGACGGGAGTATTTTTGGTAGAAAAGTTGAAATACAGGAATTTAGGTAACTCTTACACAAACATCCACAGTTACATTTAATATCATCAGCTAAAGTTTCCAACAGGATTATCAATAAATAAGGCAGAAAATCTGGAGTCCTGTCAGGCCGGAAGCCAGGCTCCCTAGACCAGAGGAACTTGCAACAAGAGGGCTCTGAATATCCTACGAGGCCACATTGTTCTGTATGTGTGTATATATATATGTATATATATATATATTTTATATTTGAGATTCTTGTGCATTACTGGTATTAACAGCAAGTATGCAGTATTAAAATTCCTCTAGAACTCTAGAATAAAAATTGTGTAAAAGCCATATTTAGAATATATATGTATTTTTCTGAATTCTCAATTTGATCTTAAGACACGAAATTACCTTATAAAAGTATTTTTGCTAAAATCCTTAACTATCTATAATGTCATCTTTATTTCTACTCGCATAAACCATGCCCAACCTCTGCGTGCACGTACGGGTCAAACTGCTGGTGCAGTGCCTCTTTAAGGATATTATCCCTAAGGAGAAAAATTAGCTCGGCCAAAAAGTCCGTTTAGTTTTTTCCATAAAATAAAAGATACATTTTCATTTTCACCAACAACTTTATTCATTTGGATATTTTGAGAATGTCAGCTATCCTCCCGCATGATAGAACACTGACTGTTCTCAATTAATGTCTCAGTTTGATTGCTATCAACTTCAACTACCTGACCGCGGAGCATCATCCAACAAGAAATTCCCATCATGAAACTTTGCAAACCACTCTCGACACATTCCATCTGTCACAGCACCTTGGCCATAAACTGCACAAAACTATTTTTGCGTTTTTAGCTGCATTTTTACCTTTCTTGAAAAAGCATATGCCCAAAATGCTGCATATTTCCTTCCATCTTCAATATTAAAATGGCTACACAAAAATTCACCAATGTTGGTAAGTTTTTTTAAAACCATGCTGATACCATACAATCTAACAAAATTGTTTCGAATGAAGCTACAGATGGCTAAACCCGAACAGAGCCTTACAGAAAAAACCAAGCAAACACTTTTGGCCAACCCAATACTTTCTACATTATCGTCCGTTCCATTATCACCATTCCAGCCGGCCTTAAATGGGAATTGTGAAGACACGCACACTTCACCTACAACTATGAAAGGTAAATAATGTGGTACAATTTATAAGTATACACATGGAGACAAGTAACAACTAACAGTAAAAGTGTCAAAATGACAACTTTTAAGTATTATCGTTAAACAGAATTATTAAATTCTACGTACACTCTCTGCCCTAAACTCATGGAGTCATGACATCAACATATACTTGCATCCCAGCCATGTGCCAGGCTGGCACCCTGCTGGACACTGAAGTTTTCAGTATGACTAAGGACACAGAGAAGTACTCTCAACCAGAGTTTACAGTTAAGTGTGGATACATTTTTCCTGCACTTATCAATTTAGTTTCATTCAAAAACAAACAAAAAAAATGATATCTTCTCTCTAGGAATTCATAATGCAAACAAGTTTCTATTTTTTTTTTAAATGTACTTTTCTAAGAAAGGCAAAAATAGAAAACAGCCTTTAGGGCAGAACAAACAATTTAACATATGGACATATACTAGTTTTACCCTTTGGCCCTGATGTGAATAAACTATACCAACTTAAAGCTGGTTTTAGGTGTGAGCTTTTTTCAGAAACTGAAATGTGAAGGACTTCTTTGCTATACACAGCAATTCACTGGCAGTTCTTGTCCAGTATAATAGTATCATAGCTATAGCGGCTGGCAAATACTGAGCAAGGATTAATAATAACACTCTCCTCTTGGGGATAATTTCTTCCTACATTAGAAATAAGTAAACAATGCCTCTTAGGAAGCTTTCTTTTTTCAAGGAAAACAGATGAATCAGTGTTGTTCGAGGATATCTGTAATGCTTTACACACACACACACACACACACACACACACACACGTTTTCATTAAAAATGAAAACAAAGTCTGAAAATAGAACATAAATTTGCCTGTGGCTATACTCCCCTCTGTTTACTAAAGGAAGCTAAGTAGTACTAACAAGCTATGTAAAGCCTACTACAAAATACAGGGTGTAACAGTTTACCTTCAACACTGCTTCAAAAACCTGCTATTAAACAGTAAGTGCTAACTAATTTCCCTATAAGAAAAAGACTATAAATAATCTAAATTCTTCTTCATATTCTACATATAGGAACTTTGCCACATCCTCCCTCCCATGCGAGGGTGAGTTCTTTGCCAAATAACTACAAGGGGTTTCAAATATATTTATACAGAGCTTTAACATATATACACCAGCAAGCAGTAAGTAAAACACCAGCTTACTGTTTTCAGGCTCCTCTAGTTAATCAGCCATCCTGAACAGGCTACTTTTAAAGACAGGCCTTGCCTATTAAGTCAACAGCAAACAGACTACAAGAAATACACTGAATCTGGCAGGAAAGAAAAAAATCTGCCAGTAAAACTTGAGATTACCTAGTGGCAAGTAACAACTGACAGTATCAAAATGACAAAGTGTTGCCCTTAAATGAAACATTGATCAGAAACACAATACACTGTCAAATCAGATAACCAGTACAGGAGCCATCTTCACTAAGATATTACTTCATTAGCTCTCCAGATATTTGTGTGCTACTGTGTGTCAGACACTATATTAAGTACTGAGATTTCAGCCTGAACAAGCATGTAGAGGCCCTACTCTGAAGGTGTTTGTATATATAAAATCCAGTGAGATATTTTCAGGAAGTAGCAAAATAGCAAGTACTCAATGACTGAAACAAAGATAGGTAAAGATTTTCCTGGAGTTAAAAAAAGAAAAATCTAATACACAAGAACTACTTCAAGTTTGTCTAACTATATCCCTACATGTAGACAAATTTTTACTGGATATGGTTTGTGGTACCTCTGTTACAACAATGGCTAAAGAAACGAAAATGTAAAAAAAAAATCAAAACCGGATGCATATGGGTTTATTAAAGGTACTCTGCTCTTAAAAAAAAAAAAAAAAAAAGAGGTATGGACATACACAGGCATGTATCTGTTGATGCGGTATCAATATTCCTGGGGAGTCCTTTAGAGCATCCACAACCAGTCCAAGTTTTAAAGGCTAAACAATAGCATAGAGCCAATAATCACAAGTAGTAAAGTCTCATTGGCATTAGCATGGCGTTCACAGGAGTGTAATAGATCAAATAAGAACTTTCCTCTTTCTCTAGATATTTGTCACCCTTTCCTCGGGGCCCCTACTTCCCCCGCTGATCCCTTAAGCACTAGCAAGCTTTTTTTTTTTTTTTTTCTTCCCTCCGTTAGCAGCGGGAGTGACGTGGCAGGAGAGGCAGAAAATGACCCTGGAGGAGCCGTGGCTGGGGCTGAGCTCAGCACCTCCCTCCGCTCCACGTTGTACACCCAGCACATCTCCACTCCCCTAGGATTCCTGAATTTCTGTCTCCTTACACAGAGGAGGCGATCTGTTTAGGAGGAAGGATCTGATAGCAAGTGGGAGCTCGGGGACCGGTCTTGACGCTGCGTGTGCTTAGCAGGCACGGTTTTAATTTAGACTCTGGAGGCAGTGATGGCACCGACGGGTGCTCAAGCGGTCCCCAGTCTTCCCTGGCGCTGCAAGCGCCTCTCTCCAATCTCACACTTTCAAGTTTAGGTCAGGCGCAGGGGTAAGAGCTTTCTTACCCGCTAAGAGCACGGGGAACGTCCACTGGGGTCCAATGTTTGTGAGCCAGAACCCCAGAGGGTGCTTTATCAACAGGTCAGGAGCTAGCGGGGCGGAGAGCCCAGCACACCGCTCTGCTGCATCCCTCTCCCCTCCCAGGCTGCTGACTCCCCCGTTCTCCCAGCATGACACCCAAGGAGCTAAGGAGTGAGGTGAAGGCTTCCTAGGGGAGTCCCCGATCTCAAACCACCGCAGAGGAGTGAGGGACTGGTAAAGAGGGGTAACCCCGCCAGAGGACCTCCATCTGCCCCCAACACCGTCCAGCCCCTCCCCCTTTCCCGTTCAATGCCCCCTAAGGCCCCACTCGCAGCAGCCAGACACAGAGAGGGAGGCGGTGAGGGGTAGGAGAGCTAACGGAAGAAGACGACAGAGAAGAGCGCAGGAAGCTGGGTCGGCGCCCCCCGCCCTCCCAGCACGACTTACCGCCAGGATCGGGGGCCGCCGCCTGGAGCCGGGCGGAGGGAGCAGGCAGAAACAAGAAGGCCTGAGCTGCTGGCACTGCCCCGGGCGGTTGCGGGCTCCGGAGACGCCTCCTCAAGCTGTGGAGCCAGAAGACACCGTTGACGGCGGCAGCGGCCTCTGGCTGCGGACGTGGCGCCGGACGCCGACCCGCCCCCTCTGCGCCTCCTCAGCTCCCGCCTCCTCCCCCTGCTCAGGCTCCGACGCGCACGCGCACCCCGGGCCTCCCCGGTGCCCACCCGTTTCTCGAACTGCCCAACCCTCGCAGCAGACCCCAGCCTGACGCCTCCCGACAGCGCACGCGCGACGCCCCCGAAGCCTGCTCCCGCCCCTTCGACCCCTGGGTGCCTCGGAGGGAAACCCTGGCCGACCTGCGCGCGCGCCTCCTCCAGGGGTCTCCCCGCCCTCCTGCTCCGCCATCCAATCAGATCAGGCGAGGGGCGCAGAGCCCTGGGAATACCGAGGCGGCAGCTCCCGGGTCTCAAGCTCAAGCCTCCGGGGCTACCCGAAGCCGCCGTTCCGCTGCGATAACGGTCGCTCGGAATTCAGAACCTTCGCCCTAGGGAAGGTGGGATGGTCGCCAGTTTCCTCGGCTCTTTCTTTGCCTTGGGGTATCATCCTTCCCCCCCCCCCCCCTGCTTCTCCTGGGGGAATGACAAGCAGGGCCTTTTCTCAGGCTTTTACTTTAGGACTCTGCATGCCTTGACTGTCAAGGTGATAAGGGTAACTAGAGAGAGTGCTCAGGTTATTAGTATTAGTAATATTACTACTACTACTACTACTGTAAGTCTTCCTCGCCCTTGGATTGAGCTCTTTGACAGTAACACCCCTCTGGTTCATCATGGTCGCCCCACTCTTACTGCAGTGGCCCGGGCGCTCCAGGGACTCGAAATCTGCCCAAAAGAATAGGTGTTTAGTGAAAAGAGAAGTACGTTGGAAATTAGGAAACCTGGCTTTAGGCCGCCCCCCTGCCATTCTGGGTGGTGGTGAGAAGAGTGGAGTGCTGGTAAGAGGATCCTGCCTGGACCTGAGCTCTGTGCGATGTGAAGCCTCTCACCCTGCGCTTCCAAGTCGGGTTTGTAATTTCCACTTCACAGGCTCTTGCTAGTACCGAACGAGGTAAGTTGTGCAGAGGCTGCCGAACTGTATAAATGGTGTCTATTAACTTTACTTTGCCTCTTTCCACACCCATCAATTGAAGATGACAGTAGGTCAGTTTTGAGAGAGGTTTTTGAGAGAAGCAAGAGATACTGAGGTTGAAAGGTCTTTATAAACTGAATTCCTAGGCTACTGTGAGATCATCACCATCTAGTTAACAATACAAAACATACACGTGAAGCAACCAATAAATGGCCTCTGGTAATGTATTTTTCTAACGCAAAATAAGCAGGGTGGTGCAACTGAGTAACTGTTGACAAGGCTGAGAAGAGGACAACCAAGGAAAGCACCCTGGAAGAAGCTGACTTTGATCCAGGTCTTCTTCAATAGAGTGGACTAAATATAGTTAATGCTTTCAGCCGAATCATTGATTTATCAAAGCAGTGAATCAAATCCACTTAGACCATTGTGCTGAGACCATGAAGATATTTTAGTTTTCCAGGACTTAAAGAGTACATTAAGTAATCTTGTCACTTTAAAATATGATTTATATTATTAGAAGAATCTGTGGATTGTTGTGTTTACCCCACATGTGAAGAGGTGTATACCTACTCTGTTTTTTTGTTATCACACAAAGCTTTCTCCATCATATGTGGTCTTTTGAGGGTGAACGCTAGGCAAAGTTATGAAGTGTACAATTACAGTGTTTCTTCCTTCCCTTTGCACTTGTTTCTCTCCAAGAAAATTTACCATAATCATTATTAAAGTATGAGTGATTGCTAAAGCTGGAGCCATCCTGGGAATTTTTGCAGTTACTAAAGCCATAATCCATGCAGTAGTTGAAACCATCTCATAAACCAACAGAGATGTAGGGGAGCTTTTGGGTGAGGTGGTAAGTTTCTAAACCTGCAAGTCTAGGAGGTCACATATTTCTTAAAAGCATGATACTAATCATTCCTTATTGCCTCAGTATTCTTACCTATAAAATGAATAGCACCACTCAGTGTCCACCCACCCCTAGACCTAAAATGAAAAATGTTACGGTCTTGATGGAATGGCTTCTACAGAGGGATGCTATCTTTATTTGGGCTACTTTGGTGCAGCAGAAGGAGCTGCAAGGAAATTAGGCACTATTCATTTTATAGATTGAATCCACTCAGTTTTCGACTACTGGTCTGAAATCCCATTCTTAGATTATTAAAGTGAATCTTATTTCTGGATGTTATTTTTGAAATACGGTATAATATCTTAAAATAATGAGTCCTTAGTGCCTTCAGGCAATAACGTCCTTTTAATGGAACAAATTCTTAATATAGCTTTTGTCAATCATCCAGTCTCTTAAATGGCTGAGTTTTCCTCTAGTTCAGGGGTGTCCAACCTGTGACCCACGGGCTGCATCCAGCCCCGGATGGCTATGAATGCGGCCCAACACAAAAATTGTAAATTTACTTAAAACATTATGTGATTTTTTGTGTGTGTGGTTACGTGTCACAATACATATAATGTGTGGCCCAAGATAACTCTTCTTCCAGTGTGGCCCAGAGACACCAAAAGGTTGGACACCCCTGCTCTAGTGGGTAACACAGAGCCTTTTGCATTATTGAAAAACTAGAGAAATTAGATGTGACATTGCATGCTTAACAAGGTGGGGTAGTTCAAAAAGTAAGGGCCAGAAATAAGCAAGCTAGAAACCAGAAACATGAAAGCAAGAAATAAGTTATTTATAGGCTGATAGTACACTGGAATTAAAGGGGAAGACAATCCAACCTTCTATCCAACAAACAAATCGCCCTCCTAGCATATGCACAGTAATGGTTTTCATTGTTGAGTTGCCAACCACTCTTCTCAGTGTTTCTGTGTGAACTCATTTAAATGACAAATCATTTGGTGTAAGGTCCACACATTTTCCTATGTTTCACCATTTTTTAAAAAAATCCTTACCCAAGGGTACTTTTTATTGATTTTTAGAGAGAGAGGAAGGGAGAGAGAAAGAGAAAAACACCAGTTGGTTGCCTATAGCATGTGCCCCGAAGCAGGTTTCCAGGAATAAAACCCTCAACCTTTTGGTGTACAGGACAATGCTCCGACCAACTAAGCCACCCAGCCAGGACTCATAATGTTTTTATGGATGTAATGCATTGTCCTGGCATTTGGAAATAAACTGGACAGTTAACAGCTTTATATGGACTACCACCCAATGTAAATTATTTTGCTTTTCTATCCTCACATTTTTACTACTCTGACTTACCTGGACTATTGTTGGTTTTTCCTTCTCTGCCCCAATATCCTTCTTAATTTTTTCTGTGATGTAATAACAACAACTAAGATTTATTTGATACAAGCTTTTAGTATGTATTACCTCATTTCTCCCAACAATAAAATGTTGCAAGTACTCTTTTTATCCCTATATTCATATAAGGAAACTGAGGCATAGAGAAGCTAGATAATTTATCCAATGGCCCATAGCTAGTAAAGAGCAGACCTAGGATTAGAACACAATTTTTTTCTGACTCTAGGTCCTCAGTTCTTAGCCACTGCATTCTGAAAAACAAAAAAGATGTCCCTACTGAGTAGCTGGTCTGATGCTATAGTCTGGGTTTTGGTGTTTCTGGGAGCTGGCCTGGCAGAGCTAGGTCTTAGTGTCTCCTATTAAATATAAACAGTTTCAGAGAACATGAACATCAGAAAAGGTCACTCTGACTTCCAGTCAAGATGGCGGCATAGGTAAACACGGCTTGCCTCCTCACAACCACATCAAAATTACAGCTAAATTTATAGAACAGCCATCACTCAGAACCATTAGAGATCAAGTTGAATGAAAGTCTGACAACTATGGAATTAAAGAAACCACATCCATCCAGTGGTAGGAGGGCTGGTGGTGTGGAATGGGTTGATCCCATATCCACCTGTAGGAGATAAAAATTCGGAAGGGCTATTTCAGGAGCAAGGAGTCCCAAGCCCACAGCATACCCCCCAGCCCAGGGTTCCAGTGCCAGGAAAGTAAACCCCCGTAATTTCTGGCTGAAAACCCAGTGGGGACTGAGTTGCTGGAAGAAGCATCTGGAGCCATTCCTCTTGAACCCACACACAGACTTAATCAGACTCACTCCCTCTGAGCTCCAGCACCTGGGTAGCAGCTTGAAAGCCACCAGTGGCACACAGGGAGAAACTGAAGTGCCTGGCATCAAGGCTAGAGTTGGGGGACAGCTTTTACCAGACAGAAAGATGGGCAGAGGTCCCTTTTCTGAACCCTTCCCACACAGAGCTGGCAGGTGGGTGTCATATGTGAGATTCTATCAACCTGGCTAACTGTTTGCCCCACCCTGAAGATCCCCAGAGATCCTGTGCCACCCAACTTATGGGTCTAGCCAAGCTGCTTTGCCATATGAATGGCTGATCTTGGCTCATGTTTTATAACTTCATAAATCCTCTCAAGCAACAGCCAGCCTCAGTGAGACCCCAGCCCTCATACCTCTTGCTAAGGGGTCCCAGGTCCAGCAGTAGCAGCAAGCAGCCTAGGTTCACAGGTTGGCTGCACCTGGGAATCTCCAAGCCCAGCACAAGTAGCAGCCATCTCAGATTGCTTTATAGCTCAGGCAGGGTGGCTGTGGGCAAAACAGGTGATTGCTGATCTTGGCCTATACCACCTGGGAAACCCCAGAGCCTATGCACCCAGTGGACAGCTACAGACCATTGGAGCACCACCACCCTGCCCTGACACAGCTGATCCTCCACAGAGGGCAGAGGTTGCTCGTCAGTGGTCATAGGCAGTCCTTGCAGCTGACGGGCCTGGGTAAATTCCTCCCATTGATCTGCCGAGAGCAACCAAGGCTCAACTACAAGAGGAGGGCATATTTAGCCCCCACAAAGGGTGCACCTCAAATACCCAACTTGGGTGACAGGGGAGGCTATGCCACTGGATGCTCCAGGACACCTACTTCATTAGGCCATGCTACCAAGACAGGGAGTCATAGCAGCTCTACCTAATAGAAACAAACACAGGGAGGCTGCCAAAATGAAGAGACAAATAAATGTGGTCCAAGTGAAAGAACAG